CTTTAAGTCAAGTGCATATTTTACTAAGACGATGTGTCACTGATTTCAGCACAGGTTCGATTATATGCCATATCGAAAATAGGCTCTTGAATTTCTCCGGTTCGATGAAAATGTGTTCGTGTAGAAACATAAGGTACAAGTTGTTCAAACGTAGCACTGAGCCGTTTAGCTGCCTGGACTCTATTCAATCTTTCATATTCTTCATCTTGTGTCTGTATAGTAGCCCATTTTAATGTCATATTGATGTAATGTTGTGCAGCTTCCCTGTGTTCCAATTGCACTTTCTCCATACCTTCCTTATCTTTTCGAAAAATGTTCACTTGTACTTCATCCTCTTGTTTTGGCGGGTTAAATTCAAAATCCATTTGATTACCTCCCAGTCGTTTCGGAAGAACCATTGGATTGATGTATTCAGCCAACTCTGTTGAACTCTTTACAAAATGAATCTTGCTTGCTACCACTGGATCTAGCCATGACTTGATTACATTCCAAACAGTATTGAACGTCCATGGGGCATTTACTACCAAGGCGATGCCCAAACACTCGGGATAGTAATTTTGCACGACATTGATCATAAATTTAATGTGTTGATAGTCCAAATTCTGTAAACCAACATTGAGCATGTCGATCACTATAGTTCCTTGTTCAACAGGAGGTTCGATCAAAAGTCTTGCGGTTTCAATGGAAAAAATGATCAATTTTTCCGTCGCTGCGAGTGGATACTGTCCTTTAATATGTTCTTTAGTATGAACATAAGTAATAGGACGACCCGCTTTATCCTTACCCATCGAGTAGATCTTACCAGAAGCACATTCTTCTTTGATCAAATCGCTTTCACCTTTTCCCATTAACCTTTGAAGACCCCATTCATGACGCCATTTAAGGGTGTCCATCATAAATTGAACAGCATGTGGCACATGCCATTTACGGGCACGTAGCCATCGAAGAACAATAACATCCGGATTTTCCCGACCGAATAAATAGAAAAGTTCAGCGCCCATTGCAGAATTAATGAAATTTGATGGATTTATATCAATAGCAGATATGAGTGCAAGCCAGTAAGCTTTGAGGATTTCATGCTGATTTCGATCAAGATTGTCTATGAATGGCAATGGATTTAGTGTTGAGGAAACGAGTTGAAATGTGAAACTACTTACTCGCATGTCCATAATCGTTCGTCGTCATTAAGAAATCGATGAAATATTTTAAGACAAAAGACAAGTAAAATGGCGACTAGAAATGAGTCTGAGGTATCTGTTTGAAGAAGCATAAAATACAAATGTTATTCAGAATATTTATCTGTTGGTCAGTAATTAACTCGGCAGAGCTTGTACAATTAAATAGATTGCCCCATATTTATTTGATCGTTCTGAGGCCTTTCGTTATCTTTGTACAACTAAAGGCAGCCGCAGATAACGATGCACCAGTTATTCAAAAATCACCAAAGGGCACGCCGAAGATAAATGATTTTAGATGCTTCAAAATCTCGGTTCCTACTGATTCTTCAATATGTGCAGGACCAATTTCGACACATCTATGCAACGCTACTACTGGATCGTATTGCATTCAAGAAAGATATCTCAGAAGTGATAAAAAATGAACTTGTTCGTGTGTTTCACAGGTTTCAACGCTGAAAATGCATCGACTCAGCTGAGTTTTTAAAATCTGCCAGCTTTCATTACTATTTTTTTTTATCAATTTTAAGATCACTGTAGCTAGTCTATTCTGCTTATTTTTATTAGTTTCGATGGCTCTCACGCTACAAAAATACCATAAGAGCTTCCGATTCTGCTAAATAAAGTTATATTGGTCGTTGAAAGTTTCTGAATCATCAGAAGCAAAACTTTTTCTCAAGTAAAGAGTTTTCATCTTGAAGTTTGAAGCTCACTTTTCTAGACTACTGTTAATATTCTCTCACATACTCTCAATGACTTTCACAGTTTAGTCCATCTTGTAGATGCAAAAATATAAGAAAAGATTCCTTTAGATAGAGAATGTTATGTCAATCGCTATAGAATCTTGCAACTACTATGACAATATCTAGGCATTAAAATATCTAAACATATGAAGTCTAATATAAAAATATACGTTGTAGCTCATATTATCTGTCTATTTTCATTAGTATTCTTGTTCGAATTAAGAAGTCTTCAGATATATTAGAAATAATGATTTCAAATAAGAATAAATCAAGCTATATCAATTTCTGTAAAGAAATCATATCTTTTATGAAGAAAGTCAAACACAACAAACAATAGATATTATGCAACATGAGTTCTTATGAATTATTATATGTAAAGTCTTGAAAGAATTCTTCTCTCGTCTTATAGTATTAACGCATATAGAAAGTAACATAGTAAAATAAAAGGCTTTATTAATTAGAAAAAAAGTTCGAAGAATTATACGATTTTCTCATTGTGAAGCTTAATAAAACCGTATTAACAAAGTTTTCTCTAAAGAACTCGTGAATTAATTTGCATGTTAAAGAAACCTAATATTCAACGACAGAATTCTGCATTTGAATTGATCGTTCGATCAGTCTCTTTGTTTTTACATGTCAAACGAAGAATCTCAATCGACTGATTCGACACTCTTGAACAAAATCCTAGTAATTTCGAGTATAGCAGATGTTGATCGGTTATGGTAACTTCTCGTCTAATATTGTGAAACTCAGTAGTAGTATTTGATAGTTCGATCGAAACCGATCCTGTAATCTTATAGCATTCGATAGGTACCTGGAATTTTGAGAATCGAAAATCACGTACGTTGAACATGTACTTCGAAAAATTTGTGCATGGATAGTATATTGGAAAAGAATTATGGCCTAGCTTTGCTTTTCATATTAGAAAATTAGGTTTTTGAAGCAATATATAAACCAAAAAGCGTCTAACTATTCATCTGAGACACATCTTTAGTGTATGAAAGACATATTATCAAATTGAAATAGTCTGCAAGAAGACTGAAATTCGCTGTGTGTCGTTCGGATATAAATGATGTGTTAAGCACTATTATTCTATGTACGTGGTCAGATTAGATGGAAGAACTATGGTCGAACCCAGTAGTTTGACTGCTCTTTCTCTGCTACCCGCATATACTACTGTTAAAGTATCTTTCAGCAAATGATTGACATCAAGACACAAGCTGTCAACGAACTGTCATGGCATAAAATGATCGAACTTTGAAAAATATGCATTTTATGATGGGTAGGTCTCTTGTATACTATCAGACAATCTACGATCATTCAGATTATTTTCAGACAAGTACTTCGACTAGAGTAACCGATAAATCGAACATATTAGGTCTACGTATTTTAATATTAGAAAAATAGCAAGAGCAAATATTTTCAGTCTTGCTCCCATATTGCATTATGCAGCCTTGTGAAACTGTACCCAATTGATCTCTGTTGTCATCATCATAGTTGAAAATTTAAACTTCTGTGATTTTCATTAGATAATCTATTATGAATCTTGTACTCTCTTCACACTGTTCTAGTTATGGTCTCTTTTTGATCGTTTTCTTGCTCTTTCTGATATCCTGTTATAGGATCTGTGATTTGCGTCTTTTTTTTCATACTGTCTTTGTAGTTGAAAGCTGAATTATTAACCAATTAGGCGTGAAGTTATTGAATGTGTGCAAAATGTAGTGCAGGAGAAATGAGCCTCTTCTTTCTAACCAAAATTTTTAGTGTACCCTACCTTTTGAAGTTTCCATCGTTGGTTGGCTTAATGAAATAAGAAGTTTCAAAAAATTATGTTCAATACCAGATTTAAAATATACGAAGAGAAACTGTGCTACCGGTGGCCTAAGCAAGAATGCATAGAGAGTTCGATATTTCACAAAGTGAATTGATGCCGAAAAGGTCAAAAGGTAGGGAACATTAAAAATTTTGGTTAGAAGAAAGAAGCTCATTTCTCCTGCACTACATTTTGTACACATTCAATACCTTCACGCCTAATTGGTTAATAATTCAGCTTTCAATTACAAAGACAGTAAGAAAAAAACTGCAATCCACAGATCCTATAATAGAATATCAGAAAGAGCAAGAAAACGATCAAAAGAGACCATAACTAGAACAGTGTGAAGAGACTACAAGATTCGTAATAGATTGTCTAATGAGAATCACAGAAGTTTAAATTTTCAACTATGATGATGACAAAAGAGATCAATTGGATATAGTTTCACAAATCTGGAAAAATGTTACTGTGATTGAAATATTTTAGTCCTTTTCAGGTCTTGATGAAATCATCTCGACAAGCTTCATGTGTTGATCATATCACTATTTGATTTGAAAATGATCGTGAATAACTGTGCGTTCCCTAATAACAACAATGATTAAGTCTCTATAGACAGTCTAGAATATGTACCTATTCTTCTATGGGCACAAAGATAGATGAAGCAAATGCTCATCCATTCTGTTATATTTTTGTCTTTATTTATCGTTCTGCCTCCGTAGAAAATTGCGACTATATCTTATATTAGGATTTGGGTGCGTTGATGAAAAATAAAATTGCTTCTCTTACCGTGGTACTTGTTTTTACGCTGGTATGGCAATGTCACAGTCAATAAAATCTAGATGAAACAATCCTGAAGTTCTAACTCCTTTATTCACCTAGAATGGAAATGCTAATATCGATAGGAACCAATATCAGAGGAAATAATTGTTCAAGATTTTTTTTTCTTAGTCCGTTTGTTACAGAAGAACAAGTTTATTTCTTCTATCCTTATTTGGCAGACTGTACTATGTCTATTGAAAATATAAAGAGAGAATAGAATCGTCAACAAACTATTTTTCTCTTTCTTTCACTAGCTTATTCGTTCTCTCTATGTAGTGTTCGATCTTTTGTGTTCAGGCCAATAATTTTCGTTGTCAATAGACATCCTGTCGAGTTTTTACTTTAGCGAATGCAAATTTTTTTGTACCATATTTGAGTATAAATCAATAATTTTGGTATTCTTCAATCACTCTTTCAGTAAAACTTTGTTCGATGTTCTTGATGGCAAAGAAAGTGCAACAAAATAGGCTGCATTGAAATATAAATCTTTAAAAGACGAGGATCTCTTGTAACTTGGCATGACAATTAACGCTCTATGTCACCTCTCTTTTACGAAATACATCGCAATTACGCGTAATTGCGGCGCATTGATGGTATTGAAAAGCTCCATCAGACACTACGGTTGCTGCGTCGTAGTAATCATATCGTCGATCCACTGCACTAGACATTAACCAATTATAAGTAATTCCTTGTCATTTGTAATTGATCAAGCTCTAGTCCTACTACTTAGCCATTTAGAGGCTGTATAAAAATTAGTCTTCATGAGACTTCGACTCATAACTCACTCTACCATAAAAGATTGAATATGTATTTCGAAAATAATTTTAAAATTTTTTTAAATTGCTTTCATCAGCAATTTTTAATTTTTGATAAAAATTTTTTATTAATAATTTTTTTAAAATTCTTATTTTTCAGTTTGTATTGAAATTATTCATTTTTTAGCTTTTCTAAGTTCTTTAATTTTTTGAATCAAAAAAGTTTATTTAATTTATAATAAAAATATTAATAAAATGAGAACTTCATCTATGCTATCTCGTTTAAGAATTTCGACGTAGTTACGTGTCACTGTGTCGCAGTTTGACTATAATGAAACACAATGAAAACAAGCTCCTCTCAAAAACAAAATCTCGACATCGTCAGATGAGAATAAATTCTTGATTGATGAAATATTCAGAAGAATTGAAGCACTGAGTAACTTTTTTGAAATTGATGTTTGGATGAATTTTGCTTCTACCACTATGATGAAGAAATTGAGATGTAGACTCGACAATAATAAAGGAAAAAGCGAAGAAACAATAAATTGAAAAGGTACACAAAAACAGAAAACTTTAATCAAAGCAACAGCTCAAAACGTCTTTTACTCGTGATACAAAATGAAGAATTATATTATATCATAATTCTGCGATTACAATGTTGAAAATTTAGAAGAGTACAATTTTATTTATTTCAAA